GCCGGCCATAATTATTTTTTTTATAATTGAAATTATTTAAAAATATTTAAATATTTAAAAATAGAATTGAGTATTTTTTTTTATTTAGGTTAATTTAGATAAATTTCGGTTTAATAGTTATTAATGTAATAGGTTATTTATAAATAATTATTATATATATTAGTTAAATATAATTAGATTAAAATTATGATAATAAATTTTAATAATACTAATTATTAATAGGATAATGCATCTAACTTAGTATTTTTAGGAAACGAAGTAGTTGTAATATATGTAATTTTTTGTTTTGTTGAGTAATTATTAGTTTTTTTTTTTTTTCCAGAGCGACAAAGTAACTATCATAAAACTCAAAGAGGACAAAATTCTAATACATAGTTCAGAGTACATAAAGCAGCATAAAAGAGAAAAATGAGAGACACACCAGATGTGGTCTAGAGCCTCTACAAGAAGAATTGAAAAAAAGAAAATAGGATACAAAGATAACTTTCCCACCACTGCTAAAAGGCCAAGCAAAGAAATTCATCCCCAACAAAGCCAGCTAATAGGTAAATAAAACAGAGAGCTGCTACTCAAGATAAGGAGCTATATTGAAGCCAATCACCATGAGCCACTTGTAGAAGCATGATTTCTGGCATGAGAGAGTTGTGAAAGATCCATAAGTTCCTTGACTTCCGGAGCCACCAAAGGATATATGTTGACAGTTGAATCCTTGCTTCAGTCACTTCTGAATGGTCAAGGGAACATATTTGATACCACCATGTTTTGAAAAAGTCAGTGATGTCATGAAGTCCATCCCGCTTGACTGGGGATAATTCATAGGTTCTCTTAGCTCTTGGACAAGAGAAAAGAACATGTTCTATGGTTTCTGAAGCTTCACCACAAATAAAGCAGATGTGATCAATGTTCACCTTTCTTTTTCTCAAATTGACAGCCACGAGTAAGGTACCTGTAATGCATTTCCATACAAAGTGTTTCACCTTTCCCACAACTCTTAGTTTCCAATGCCTTAATTGGATTGATTTCTTCAATGAAGCATGTGAGATGCTTTCTGGAATGTCCAGCTGAGATAGTTTGAGGTCTGAGATGTAACTGTAGGCACTGGAGACTGTGAAGTTGCCTTATTTCTCTAATCCTAAAAAAAGTCTGTCTTTTCTGCCAGGATGAAGAGAAGAGATTCTAAGTATATCTTCACTATCTCCAGAATCAAAAACCTGTTTCACTAGCCACTCATTCCACGGATAGCCATTTGGTTGCAGAAGTTCATGGACCCAAATCAGATGACCCCGGGCATTACTTCCATCCAGCAGTTCCACATCTAAGATCCCTTTTGGGTTTTAACTGCATGGGTGATTGAGGTGTGAGGGAAATATCTAGCTTTAAGGAGTCTACTCACAAGCAGGTCTGGGTTGGCAGCAATTCTCCACAATTGCTTACATATTAATGCCTGATTGAAAACCTGCAAATCAAGGAATCCTAGGCCACCAGCATTCTTAGGGAGAAAAAGATAGCACCATTTCTTCCAATGATTACTCCTAGATTGCTGATTTCCTGTGTTCCACTAAAATTTGGTACAAAGCTTGGAGATTTCTGAGCAGAGGGTCAATGGAAGCTTAAAGCATGACATTGAGAAGATAGGCAAGGCTTGAACAACTGCTTTAAGGAGGACCTCTTTGCCTGTTGGGCTGAGAAGCTTTGTTTTCCAACTATGCAACTTATTTTTGACTGAGTTCAGCAAATATTCAAATACTGCTTTTTTGGATTTCCCTATCCCAAGTGGTAGGCCCAGATATCTTGTTGATCTATGTGAGACAATTCCATTGAGAGCACTACGAATAGAGGTTTTGAGATGATGTGGTGTGTTTCTGCTGAAGAATATGGCAGATTTTTGCAGGTTGACAGTTTGTCCTGTGAAGAAGCCTGTATTTCTCAAGTATGGCCATTAGAACAGCTGCTTGATTAGTGCCTGCTTTACAAAAAAAATAAAGAATCATCTGCAAATAGAATGTGGGTAAGCAGATGGCCATTCTTGGATAGTTTGATACCTTTAAGCTGCCCATTGTCAACAGACTGGTCAATCAAAGCAGTTAGAAGCTCAGTAGTTATAATAAACAGGTAAGGGGGCAGAGGGTCCCCTTGCCTGATACCCCTAGTTGGGGTAACATAACCACTGACTGCTCCATTGTTTTTAAAAGAGAAAAGTGGTTGTGGAGACACAAATCATGATCAGTTTGACAAATTCACTGTGGAATCCCATTTGAAGCATAATTTTCTTCACACAAAGCCATTCAACACCGTCAAAGGCTTTAATTAAGTCAAGTTTGAGAGCCATGAAGTAGTTAGCACCTGAGGAGTGTCTATTTAAAAAATGAAATGCTTCATGTGCTATTATAACATTATCCATAAGTTGTCTGCCCTCAACAAATGCTGCTTAAAATTCACTAGTGCAAGAACCTAGGCATGCCTTTAACCTCTAAGCTAACACTTTAGATATAAGCTTGTTACCACTATACTAAGGCTAATAGGCCTGAAGTTGCCCAAAATTTCTGGATTAGTGCATTTTGGGATCAATGAGATTACAGTGTGGTTCCAGTATTTCAAGTCATACCTGAGTGAAAGAAACTGAGAATGGCTGCCATGAGGTCATGCTTAATAAGCTCCCACAAATGCTGATAGAAGTTTGAGTTCAGTCCATCCTTCTCCAGGTGCCTTGTCTGCTGGCATTGTGAACAGAGCTGCTTTGACTTCTTCTTCTGAGACTAGCTTTAGCAAGGCCTCATTCATATCAGGAGTGATAGATTGGGGTATCAGAGGAAGAATTGAGTCACCTCCCCAACTGCCTTCTGGGGAGAAGAGTTGAGTGTAGAAATCTGCAATATGTTTCTCAATGTCCCTTTGATTTTTCAAGATCATGCTCTGAGAGGAGATAAGCCTTGTGATTGCATTTTGCCTTCTCCTTTGAAGGGTGAAGGCATGAAAAAATCTGGTATTGGCATCTCCTTCCTTAAGCCATTTCAAATCAGACTTTTATTGCCAGAATAGCTCTTCCTGTGAGTGAGCCTT